ACTAACACCCAGGCCCTCCTGCTAGCCTAATCTCCTACTCCTCTCACTAAACACACTAGACTTTTCAATTTTCAAGTAAACATCTTCCTGCCTTAGGGCCCCCATATGCACTACTTATGTCCCACTACCCAGCCAAAGTCACCTCACACTTCGGTCTCTGCCTAAGCATTATTCCATCCTAACAACTGTCTTCCCTGTTGATAATCTTGACTTTTTCCTATGAAGGAATAATCAAAATTTAGTAACTATGTGACTCTTTTATTTCCTTAAAAGACTCCTGACTGGGGCTGGCAGGTGGCATGGGGGTTAAAGGCACTGGATTTCCACATGGCTGACTGCAGTTCAAGACCTGGACCTGGTGGCTTGCTTTCTCTTTTTTCCCTTCTCCCTCTTTCTGGTCAAAAAACAGTAACAATGAATGAAATTAAATAAATTAATTCTTTAAAAAAAAAAAAGGACTCCTTACCTATAACATAAGCAGGGAATTTCCATGAAGCCAGGCTCTTTGCCTACATTGGCTACTATTCGACCCTTTGCAGGTAGGTAACTGGTTTACACACAGGGAGTTTGTTTTAATTGTAGTTTTTAAAAAAAAAAAAAATTGCCATTTTTAAAAGTTTATTTATTCATTTCTTACATAAGAGGGAGTGATGCACTCTAACAGAGTCTTCATCCCATCATCCATCTCTGGCCTCAGCAGCCAGCCTCACAAACCCAGGACCTTCCCATATGGCCTCAGCACTGTGACAAGCATTACCGCTGTCACCATGGCTGGCCTTAGCCATTTTTTTAAATGTGTAGTCTTTAATGTGTGTAGAAAATGTGGTATAATGGAATATTATTCAACCTTAAAAAGGAAGGAAATCTTGTCACATGGTACACATGAATGAATCTAGAGGACATGATGTTAAGTGAGATAAGCCAATTACTGAAAGATGAGCTCTGTGTGAGTCCACTAATGTGAGGTGTCGAAAGTAGTCAAACCCATGGAAGCAGAGTTGACTGGTGATTTGCCAAGGGCTGGAGGAGGAGGGAAAAATGGAAAGTTTTCTTTTAAATGGGTGTAGAGTTTTAGTTCTGTAAGAAGAAACAATTCTAGAGATCTGCTGCACGAAAACGAAAATATAGACCACCTTAAATTATAAGGCCCCCTTAAAATTTACAGCCTATAAAAAGCAACTAGTTTATTTAGAAAAATGTATTATTACTTCTAAGAAGTCTATTCTAAATAGAGTTCTAAAAAGAAAACTAGCATGCTATTCAGTGAGCTGGCATTCAAAGCAAATCCAAAATTAAATTCATTTATTTCCTTGTTCTTTCCAGAATTTATCTGATCTAAAATGTGACATGTCTGAAAAAAAACACTCATGAAATCCCCTTCCACCTCCTTCTGTTCAAATCCCCCTTTCCTTCTCACCAAATGGCACCTCCATCCATTCAAAAACTCATGCCTTATTTCTGGCATGTATCATTCTTCATACCCAATCAAACATCAGCTAGACTCTGCCTCCTTCCTAATCATTCACTTATTTACTTCCACTGCCATGACCTGATTCAGGGTCACCTTTACACTTTGAGTGAGCAAACCTGTTCAGTCCTCTCTCAATCCAGTTGGACTATCAGCCAAAATGACCTTTTTCAAGGCAAAACTGGTCATCTTACAACCTTATTTTTGTTCACCAGTGGCTTATTATTTATTTGCCTTAGGAAAAAGGAACTCTCCCATGTCTTAATATATCACTTTGGTAGGCCTACTTGATTTGAACCCTACTAACACCCAGGCCCTCCTGCTAGCCTAATCTCCTACTCCTCTCACTAAACACACTAGACTTTTCAATTTTCAAGTAAACATCTTCCTGCCTTAGGGCCCCCATATGCACTACTTATGTCCCACTACCCAGCCAAAGTCACCTCACACTTCGGTCTCTGCCTAAGCATTATTCCATCCTAACAACTGTCTTCCCTGTTGATAATCTTGACTTTTTCCTATGAAGGAATAATCAAAATTTAGTAACTATGTGACTCTTTTATTTCCTTAAAAGACTCCTGACTGGGGCTGGCAGGTGGCATGGGGGTTAAAGGCACTGGATTTCCACATGGCTGACTGCAGTTCAAGACCTGGACCTGGTGGCTTGCTTTCTCTTTTTTCCCTTCTCCCTCTTTCTGGTCAAAAAACAGTAACAATGAATGAAATTAAATAAATTAATTCTTTAAAAAAAAAAAAGGACTCCTTACCTATAACATAAGCAGGGAATTTCAATGAAGCCAGGCTCTTTGCCTACATTGGCTACTATTCGACCCTTTGCAGGTAGGTAACTGGTTTACACACAGGGAGTTTGTTTTAATTGTAGTTTTTAAAAAAAAAAAAAATTGCCATTTTTAAAAGTTTATTTATTCATTTCTTACATAAGAGGGAGTGATGCACTCTAACAGAGTCTTCATCCCATCATCCATCTCTGGCCTCAGCAGCCAGCCTCACAAACCCAGGACCTTCCCATATGGCCTCAGCACTGTGACAAGCATTACCGCTGTCACCATGGCTGGCCTTAGCCATTTTTTTAAATGTGTAGTCTTTAATGTGTGTAGAAAATGTGGTATAATGGAATATTATTCAACCTTAAAAAGGAAGGAAATCTTGTCACATGGTACACATGAATGAATCTAGAGGACATGATGTTAAGTGAGATAAGCCAATTACTGAAAGATGAGCTCTGTGTGAGTCCACTAATGTGAGGTGTCGAAAGTAGTCAAACCCATGGAAGCAGAGTTGACTGGTGATTTGCCAAGGGCTGGAGGAGGAGGGAAAAATGGAAAGTTTTCTTTTAAATGGGTGTAGAGTTTTAGTTCTGTAAGAAGAAACAATTCTAGAGATCTGCTGCACGAAAACGAAAATATAGACCACCTTAAATTATAAGGCCCCCTTAAAATTTACAGCCTATAAAAAGCAACTAGTTTATTTAGAAAAATGTATTATTACTTCTAAGAAGTCTATTCTAAATAGAGTTCTAAAAAGAAAACTAGCATGCTATTCAGTGAGCTGGCATGTAATTTAACTGTCTTTTGTCTAAACATGGAATTAAACCACACATTAAATACCAAGGATTTAAAATAAGCTAGTTGAGAAAATTTAATTTAACATAATTACCACCCTCAGTACCCTATATTTTACTGCTAGGACATGTAAATACAAACAATTATAGCATGTAGGCAAATAACAAAATTTGCATTTACATTCTTTTATTGACTATTTGGTTCTATTGACTGATTTGTTGGTAGATATTGGACAGTAATCCTTCCACTGTGACTAAGTAGGTATCCTCAAACACAATGCTCACACTGAGTCTGTCCACAGCCACAATCTAACAGACTAACAGGGCTGATTCTTTAGGGTGCAACCCTGGGCCGAACTTGTATTCTTCACTCCTACTCTCAGTATATGCTCCATTGAAGTAACTCCCAAGACTCTGAAAATGAAGTAGAACTAAATTGGAAAAGCCCTTTTCCTAACAGTAAGGAAGGCAACCAGTTAATTCTAGATCTGCCAGAACTTGTTAATATTTCTGTCTTTAATTTACTTAAACTGAGAAGCCTTGAAGTTCCTCGGAATTAGCACTAAGTATCGAACTACCTTGTTTAGTGTGTTAGGAAACTCCTGGAGCAGAAACAATGTCACAGCTCTCCTGATTTCAGATAGATCTCTACCAGGTCACTGCTTGGTCAAACCTATTACCTAGTCAGGCTGACCACCAACCACTTCGCTTGTCCCCTACACACACACACACACACACACAAAGCAACAACTGGGTAAACAGCACCTTCACCTACAGTCTGTCCAGCAAGATAGACACTCTCCCTCGAACCGCCACACAGTACACATGGGGACTCTTCTTCTCGACATTCCTTTCAGTGGGTTCCCTTCTGCGCTCTTCAGGCAAGCAAAGGGGTGACTGCAAAAAATGAGCTGTCCACCCTCTAAACTTAATATTAAAAGCCAATAAGTATAGGATACCATTTTGAAAAGTCTGTCTTGCTTTCCTCTATGCCAAACCATCACCAATTTCCCCATCATTGAAAATCTTTTACTATAGTGTGTGTGTGTGTGTGTGTGTGTGTGTGTGTGATTCACAAGGGGCACACGTTGTGCTGGGTTGGAAGCAGAGGACATACCCTGTTGGGGGCATGTCCACACCACAACCCTTCTCTTCTATTTCTCCCTCCTTTTGGGATTTTGAGCATGCACTCACACATGCCCAGTGTGTTTCTTAGGCCACTTGGTCCTGAACATGAACCATATGATAGGTCTTGTGGGGTCCAGCTTATTTCACCAGGCCATACGTTAGCCAAATGTATATATTTTTAAAGTATTTTTTTCTCTCCACAAATTCAATACACAAATTGGGACCAGCAAATGGCATAATGGTTATGTCACTCGACTCCCACATGACCAGTTGTGATTTGAGTCCTGGACCTGGAGGCTTGGAAACATGCCATGTGCATGCTCAAACTCCTGAGAGGAGAAGGGGGAGAAGGGACCACGGCGTGGCCATACCCCTAGGGAGTGATTTCTCACTTTCTATCTCTCTCCGTGTCTCTGATGAACACATGTGCCCTATAGCAAAAATCTCTAAAATAAGTAAATTCATTATATAAATTCATCCCACTAGGAATTCAAAAGCTAAAAATTCAACATAATATTAAAGACAGTACTATGAGCCTCAAATAATTAACATAGAACAAGACAATTAATTCATTGTGTCTGCCCAAAATATAAGTGGTAAGCTCACAGATGCATATAACCCCAAAAAATGCCAAAAACTTATAAGTGATTCTCTCTACAAAAGTTAATTTTCCAATGTTTATCAAATTTCTACAATGAATTTAAATAAATCATAACAAATACATATCTAATATTAAAGTTAAATCTTATGCTGAGGTAAGCTGCTTAAGAAAGAAACATATTGCTTTCCAAAAATATATAGATTAACTTGGAAATTGCTTACTTTCTGCTCAGGGTTTTCCTGGAACAAAAGTCCAAAGTAGTCCTTCTCCAAAAGATTGAGGTGTTCACACACTTTGTCAAATAACACTTGTCCCTTAGCACGTTTCTGGAGAAAAAAAAATATATATATATTTTTACTTTTCTAGCACCAAGGATTCCATGAGTACTTTAAATAAAGAGCATCATATCAAGTACTGCATGAGTACTTTAAATAAAGAGCATCATATCATATCAAGTACATACTAAATATATATTAGTGTATTAGTTTCATTAAGTTTCTAACACTATTAATCAGTCAGTTTTCTCACTTTAGTACCCCAACCCTCACACACATTACAAGGCATAAATTCTAAAATGAAAACACAGTCAAGTGCCCTCTACTTCACTGCTATGTAAATATAAAAGGGACTAAACAAGTGAAATGAAGAGTTAACTTATTTATTTTTAAAACAGTACAAAAATATGTTTGAAGTGATTCCCTTGATTTCTCAAGGTGGCTCACAACTGATCTACAATGTACATGCTCCCAGAAAAAAAAAAAAATTAACCCTAATACTCAATGTATCTTAAGATACTGTATTCCTAGTGTTTAATTTTAAAATTTTTCTTCTGTGATATTTGTAGAAGTATTTTTTCTACATGAGTTATGTTTCTATTTTACAATTTTCTATAGAATTCTATAATAGTGACTCTTCTGCATAACTTTTAAAAATACAAGCAAATGGAACTGGGACAATAAATCAACTGCTTCTGAGGATTTAACATATTTTTGCCTTGAATAGATTTTCTTTTTAATCTAAGGCGCATCTGTCAACAGAGATGTAAAAGCCTTTGACAGCCATAGAAGAAAAGCTCATTGTCTAATCTATGGCAAAACATAATCAAAGGGGTGAGTCATTTCCAATTAAGATGCACACTCCTGGAGCACCCCAAGTGCAAGGTCAGGTCAGATATTCTCCTGCTCCTAAGATGCACTGACATAAGCCGTCGTTAGACTGCTAAGGAAAAATGAAATAGGCCATCAGACTTCATCCTCAAAATGAATATCCTCTCACTATCAAAATGTGTACCTACTAGCTCATTCAATGTGAGGGGAAAAAAAAAAAATCAATGTTCCCCACACATACATCTTGAGAAGGAGTTTGGTACTTTTATTATTAAGCCTCTTACAATGTCATTAAAAAAAAAAAAAAAACCTAAAACTCTTTTTCTTTTAATTAAAAAAAAGCATTAAAATACCTATTTGATGACTGCAGTAAGCTATATAGCCCTAGCTAGGTCCTATTTTATTGTAAAGTTTGTTCTACTCACTGAGGTTTATGCCTAAAGTCAGACTTGTGTTCGTGGATATGTATATATCAGCTGTGCTTGCTATTGATTCTTGCTATTGATATTTAGATTCATTAAGATCTTTGGTGAAACAATAAAATGTGGAGGAGAAAGGCATAGAAAGCAACCATAGATACCAGACACAGTGTGGGAGGAGGGTGGGAGATGGCAGAGGGTGAAAGATAAGGGAATCAAGGATGGGAAAATAGGCAAAATATACAGGAAACAAGAAATAGAAAATTATTTGTTGACAATAACACGTAAGTTTATGTGCTTGATTGAATCACTATACAGTGTATTCTGGACGGAAAAATTTCATTTTGTATACTTTAATGATGTACAGTGAATGAATGTAAACAAATAAATGAATAAACAGAACTGCATGAAATAGTAAAAAGAAAAAGGAGTAACACAGATTACATTAACTAAACATAATAAGCACTGTGCTATACACATAACTGAAGATTTACAATGAGTATTTAATATCCAGATAAATTTACTAAGTACCAAGATAGATTTATGCTTATATGTCTATATGTAAAGTATATACAAAAGCAGTGCAGTAGATAAGAGCAGTGCTCTGTGCGCTAAACACCAAAGTTCTATGTGACCCACGGCAAGACAGTTCGCTTCTGTCTGCTCTAGTTAGCACATCTGTGAAATGGGGCGATAGAGCCTACCGCAGATGGTATGGTGGTTACTACCGGGTTATAATACATAGCCATTGGTTATGAGACTATTTTAATTTAAAGTAAAAAGGACATTTAAGACCACCGATATTTATAAATATGCAACTCAGTTCAAAGAAAACACACATTCCAACACTGGTTTGAAGTAAATTTTTTATTAATAAATCATACTCCCTCTCTGGTTTCTATTCCAAACATGAAAACATGCTCTTATGGATAGAATTCGCCCTAAAAGATTAAGAGGAAAACATCCACAAAGCTCCCAGCCATGATTTGGTGATGGTGTGCTGGGCATCAGTGTAGAGGCTAGAGTCAGACCCAGTTCCTCCCTCATGCAATATTCAAAGTTTACTATTACTAGACAAGTGTGACCATGGGGAAGTCTCTTAGTCTCCTTATTTATAAATGGTGATAATAGCTACCTCACAACTCACTGTGAGAATCAGATTGAGTCAATGTGAGAGGATGTGTCAAAGTTCCCAAGCATGTGCCTAAATCAAACACGCTGAATTCTGACTCTAAGTGTTCTTATACTGGCCCACAGCCAACAAACGCCAAAGTATCTTCTAGAGGCTCACAATGCTTCTCTACTATTCCCTCCTTTCTCCAGGGAAAAGGTATTTTAAATACTTAAAAAAGACCCTGACGATACATGCATGTTATTTAAGGTTTCATTCAGTATCTCTACTCTCAATGAACTCAAAGTCTGACAAAAATGCAACACTGAGACATATTTTAAGAAATATGCAATGGGTCTTCAAAAAGTTCATAGAAAGTTTGTATAATGGGGGCCAGCAGATAGCGTAGTGTTTATGTTGCTGGACTCCCACATGTCCAACCTTGGTTGAAGTCCTAGATGCCGGGCGCAAAGGGCATGTGAGCCAAAGATCCTGGGAAGAGAATGGAGGAGAAGGGATTGTACCATGGCCATCCCCCGAGGGGTGATTTCTCACTTTCCCTTTCACTGTCTCTGTCTCTCTGTCTCTCTTTGGCAAGCACACATGCCCTAAAACAAAAACCTCTTCAAAAATAAAAGTGTATCATGAAAAATTATGCATGGATTTTAAAACATTTTGCCCTAAAATAAACTCATACTTTGATTCTATTATTTCCATGAACTCTGTGTTAAGTCCCCATGAATATACAAAATGCCATGGCAACACCAGGAATGAAGTGACTGTATCTGAGAAAAATCACAGCTTCACCAAGAATATGACACCTGAAGTAACTCTTAGAGAAGGAAATGATTTTTTGAGGCAGAGAAAATAGTATTCAAAAGAATTTCCTTTTCACTTTGAATGTTTATAGAGACTGACAAAATCTATTTCTGTTCAAAAAATACTGGAGGATACAGAAAATGAAAAAAGGAAACCATCCATTATAGACAAGCTATGTACTATGACTACTGGCTACACTGTCCTACTCTCAGATGGCTTTGAGGGCTTGCCAAGCTAAAGAGCTGAACATATATTAATTCAGTATCTAGTATGTGTCAGCGCTATATTAAGATGGTAGAGAAACAATGATGAATAAAATATGCATGATCTCAAGAAATTTATATTCAAATGGTAGAGATAAGAAATCAACAGAGAATAGAAGAGTAAAAACTGTGTGTACCTACCACTGTGGATATTACTAGGTACCTAGTCTAACTGGACCAAAGAAAAGCAGAGGCCTACAGAAAGTCTCCAAAAAGCACACAGAAATGCATAGATTTTAACATTTTTTGCTTCAAAATAAACTGGTATTTTCATTTAATTTTTCCATTAACTTCCCGGAGTCTCTTCTCATGAGGTAATTTAGAACAAGGACTCTGCCCAGTGGCAATGACTCTTGGAAAGACACATCCTTCCTCATGAGGGAGTTTAAGTATTTGCTGAAGTGTATTCTGCTGATCCCATAAGGTGCTTTGCATATATATCTCACCTCCCCAAAAAGAATAGAATGAGACAGGAAAATTCTGCTTATTATACACAAGTCCTAAGCATCAAATCTTAGTGGATACACTAAGAACTTAAGTTATGAAAAATATCCATTTCCCATCATTCAACCTGATGTCTCCCAAAATGACTTGGCTGAAGAGTCAACTACCTTTTTTCAGTACATTTACTAACTTATTTCACAGAAGAGTTACTGTTCTACAGATCACACTCTAATAAGTGTGGTAGAAAAGAATACCACTTGGTCTTATGCAGACTTGGAGACTGACATTAACATTATTTACTTGATTACAAAATGCTAAAAGAAAAGTCAGTTTAAACTGACCCAAGATTAGAAGTTCCCAGCTGCCCGGCAGAAACAATTCCCCAAAATTCTAAACACTAGTTAAAAAATTATAAAACATACAAGGAAACCAAGCATCACTATTAAAAGTTAGACACAGTATTAGAATCAGAAACAGATCTTTAAAGACTGCAGATAACAGAATTATCAAGTACAGAATTAAAAAAACTATGTTTTATTGTTTAAAATAATAAATCAATATTTTAAATATCACTAAGGAAAAAGTGACTATCAAAAAGATTTTGAAAATAATCAAACAGCATATCTAGAAGTGAAATTTATAAAAACTAAATTATAATAATTTTAAAAAGACATAAAGAAGCTAAAGAGAAAATAAGCTGGAAGATAGATTGAAAAAAAATTATCCCGACAGCAGAGAAAGCCGAAGAGAAAGAAAATAGTTTATAAACATCACAGGGGCCAACAGGTGGCATCATGGTTAAGGGACTGGACTTCCACATGGCTGACCATAGTTTGAATCCCAGACCTAGCAGACTGAAAATCATGCCAGACACATGTGCAGTTGTGCCCAAATTCCCAGTAAGAGAATGGAGAAGTGATTGTGGTATGGCCACCCCCTCTGGGAGTGATTTCTTACTTTCCCTCTCACTGTCTGTCTCTGTCTAGTTAGCAAACACGCCCTATGGTAATACTATACAATGTGTCACACTTTTTTTTTTTTTGCTTTCATACTGTACACAACACACTTCAAAAATAGTTCTCACTGGGGAAGAGGAACCCAGATACAACTAATTAAGGTAATACATAAAAACGCACAGAGGAATGGAAGTTGAAATTCCTCCTT